ACAGAGGCAAAATAAAAAAAAACAGCAGCGGCAATTGTTTTGCTTCAACGATGAATAAAGAGAGAGAGAGAGAGAGAGAGAGAGAGAGAGAGAGAGAGAAAGAAAGAAGAGATATTTAAAACTTAAACAAACATGGGTGAAAAGCCAACAATAAACTGGATATTTTAAGAGAAAAAAAAAGAGAGAATTCAACAAGAAAAAAATAACGATTCGGCATGAAACTTAAAAATGATGTTTAAAACAAACAAAAAAATTATTGATTTTACAAAATTGGGAAATCTAATTGATCAGGTTAGAATTGAATTAATTCGACCATTTCATTATGATTCTTTCAATCAATCGATTTTAGATAATTATTATAATTTGATTTTTTGATTTTTGACCAAACAATTAGGCAAGACAATAACATAATTAAAAGAACAATCGATTGTTCCAAGAACTGATCAAATCAATAATCGATTGTTATCGATTTTCAATTTAGAAAAAAACAACAAGTAAAATTAATTTTTCTAAGAATTCGTTAACAAAAAAAAAGGCAATTGATATCTTCGTACGATAATACCGAATGGTACTACACACAGGTACTCTATTCAACATTGTCAAAAGAATATAAATTTTAGTAATAGAATACATACAGACACACACACCTGTAATCATAGTGAAAAAAACAATGTTTTATCATTCGGATGATAAATGTTTTTTACCAAGAAAAGAAAAAAAAGAGATTAAGATTTCAAATTGAACTGGAAAGAAGAAAAAGAAAACTCTATTTCAACAGGTTATACATTCGGATGATGATGATCATTATTATTATGATCATCAATGCCGACTATTTTAACACATGAATGATCAGATATTGATCAATCATTTGATCAGATAACATATCATCACCTTTAAGAAAATTGTTACCAATTATAATTGAAAACAATAACAACAACAGACAGAAAACTAAACCTATTTCAAAACAATTCAAGCATTTTTTGTTGGGATTGATTTGATATCAACATTTGCATTTCAATCAATCAATCAATTGAATGTTTGGATTGATTGATTGAATGGAATCATGCAAGTGTGACCATCGCCACCAAACAATAATAAAAATTTTCAAAGAAAACTTACCCAAGATTTGAAGGAATTGATCAAGAAAAAAAACAGGCAAGGTGATCATCATACCAACCAACCACCATCACAATCATCAATGATTCTGATGTTTTTTGGTCTGAGTTTTTATAGCCAGATGATGACTCTTTTGAAAATTTTTGAGTTTCTTCTTCTTCTTCTACTTCATCATCATCATCATCATCTCACCAAAGTAGAAAAAAAAATGATTCGTTATGGAATCCATCTTCATCATGAATGTGAAATTTGAACAAGCCACAAAAACGAAAAAAAATGACATGGCGAAATTTTTTTCAAACCACAACAATTCGGGATTTATAGATGTGTTTGTCCGGATCATCATCATCATCATTATCGTTCGATGTACATACATTCTCTTCAAAAATTTTTTCGGTGTAATTTTTTTCAATTTGATTTTTTCCCACTTCTTCATCATCATCCAAATCATCATCAATCTTTTTCTCTTCAGTTTGATGTTCGACACATTTTTTTTACGTCCAAAATGATGATGACGATTATTTTTTTTTCTTGACTAATTCGACCGAATAACCAAAACGGATAAAAATTTCTGTTTCTGTTGAGGGAAAAAATCGAATGAATTAATTCAGTTTTTCATAAATTCAATTATACTCACACATTATGTATTTGTAATTGTAAAATCTATATTTCAACAAAAAAAAACCTGTAGCCAGAACAAAAAAAAATTGATGAATTTTCATGAATTTTGCCTGAATGAAATGACTAAACAAATATTCTACTAAAATTCATCCTCATCATGATGATCGTTTGGTTGGTTGAAAATGTCATTACAGAAAAATTGAAATGAACCAAATAAAAAGAGACCACACATCAGAAAAAAACCGAATGATGATGACGATTGCGAAAAAAAAACGAAAAAAACCGAAATGAAGAATGCTGCATTGCACACACCGTTTGATGAATTTGAAATGATCTGAAATGAATTTCGAAACCACACACACACGATATGATCAAAAATGACTGATGCTTTTCATTATTATTTTTCTTGATCAGAAACACGAAAAATTTCACTTTTTGTTGTTTTTCTGGCTAATAAAATACACACACACACATGGTAGAATTGGAATGAAATTTGATATTGATGATCTTCCCTTGATCATTATTTAACATCGACAATTTCTATCTGTTGTTTTGTTTTCTGCTGTCGTTTGTTGTTGTTGTTGTCAATCAATTTTGATGATCAAATTGGCAGCAAAAACCAGAAACCACCGAAAAAATTCATGGATAATGATAATAATGATGAACGAATTGACAATTTTTTTACAATTCGAATGTTTGATAACAATCGTTTCGAAAAAAAAACTATCGATTATATCGATAGATAGTCTGGAATATGCCGGAATTTTTTTTCTTCTTCTTTTACTCATTTATCATTCGATTCGAAATTTCTGGTTTTCTTTTTTTGTTGACCCAAAATGATTGATTTATTCGGAATATTCAATCATCAATAACGGTCCTATAGAAAAACAGAATTTTGATAATTTTGTTAATGAAGATGAATTTCGAAGAAGAAGAATTGTAAAATAAAACCAACTAAAAACCTGAAAAAGTAAATTCTTGTTTTCGTCGTCGTTTTGGTTTTTTGCCTTATTGCTACAAAACTTTCAAATCAAATTTAGATAATGAATTATTTGTTGGTGATATTGAAACCAAAAACAAAAACCAAAAATATACAGGTACCTGGATAATTTATTGCAAACGAAACGAAACGAAACGAAAATGCAGTTAAAAATGGAAATTTGATTCCATAGTCAGTCGGTCGGTCAGCGAATCATCATCAAATGAATGAATCATAATAATAAAAACGGTTGACGGTTGTTATTGGCAAGGTTTGTTTATGGTTTTTGTTTTCTTCTTTCGTTTGTTTTTTTTTCATTATTATTATATGGTACCAAACCAAAACAAATACAATTCTCATCATCATTATCATAATCATCATCATCATCATCGTTATATATTGGTCAAATAACAATAATAATCATTGGTTACCGGCAATTGAAAGTATACTGAATGAATGACTGGGGGTGAAGAAGGGGAGAAAAAAAATCTTTGAAACAATAACAATAACAAATATTGCTCACCATGTTGGAAATAACGGAAATGTTTACCGAGAAACTTTCTTTCTTCTTGTTTTGTTAAGATGATTCATACGTTGAAAGTAACTTTTTTTTGCTTTTTTTTTTTGTTATTTATTTTTGATGAATTGTAATTTGATTATTTGTCCATCCTAGATGAACACCAAGTGAAATAAAAAAAAATTGAAATCCATTGGGCGTTTGTATTGTGCTTGTATCGGGATTGATCCAGCAGGCAAAACAATCAAAATCGGATATAAATAGAATTCAATTAAATGGATAGGATTGGTTTTTTTAAAAATTCAATTTTTGAAAAGGAAAAAACATCGAAAATTTTTATGATTTTAAAATCAACAATGTGACAAAAGGTGACGACGATGACAACAACAACAACAACAGAAATGTGAAAATCGAATTAAAGAAAAGAAAATCTTTATTGGGAAACGAGTGGGGAGAAAAAAAAATCATTGCCGGAAAATGATTTTTTCAAACAATCGATTATTGAATAAAAAACAATCGATTGTTTGTCAAAGTGTTCGAATCATTCGATTTTAAATTTTTTTTCCTCGGATTTTCAATTTCAATTTCGTTTTAATTCAATTTTTTTCAAATAATCATTGTGAAAAAAATAAAAGTCAAAAATGGAAAGAGGAACCTATCGTATCTATTAAATTGTGTCCGAAAATCTGAAAATGATCATCATCATCATCATCAAACAAAATATTGGTTGACCGAATAACAGAAAAAAAAACAATTTTAAAATGATTATGGATGATAATGCACGAAATGTTTGTATTTGTTTGTTTGACGACAAATCAATTCATGATGTAGCATTTGTGTGATAATCGAACGGAAAAATCTCACCGGGTTAAAAAAAAAAGAATGAGTGTGTGTATGTGTGTTAAATCAAATTATCCTTTTCCTCGATCTTTTTGATTTTTAACCGATGTTGACGATTCTTTTGCGTGCGTGCATTCGCATCGTTATTACGCAAAACAACAACAAACCACCACCACTACTATCATTATTATGATTATAACAACATTAAATATGGATTTTTTTTCGCATTCATTCATTCATCCAAAGTGCGAATTATCTGAACAAATTGATGATGATGAATGGATGGATGGATGTTGTTGTCCGGATACCATGGTTTAATTTAATTCAATTTTTTTTTCAAAAGTCATTTTTTCCTTGTTAACACTTTGATTTCTTTTGTAATTAAGGGTTAAGTTACATTGTATATGAAAGGTATGTGAAAAAAATTATTATTTTAGCTAAAAAACAAAAAAAGCTAAAATGTAAAAATTTCCAATTTTTTTTTTCTTGAATTTTTCTTTTTCTGTTTTTTCATTCAGGTATATTTTCATCTCATCAATCAATCAATGATACAAATACAAACAAGAAAAAAAAACATTAACCTAATTAATTATTGAATTATACCGCAAAAAAAAGAAGAAGAATCAATATTGGCTATTTTTGTATTTTGGCCATTTTTCGCAAAAAAAACACTCTTCATTGTGACGACGACGACGACGCGTCGGCTGCTAATCACAACGACAACAACAAAACAAAAAAATTGATATTTAAAGAAAATTTCTACCAAAACAAAAACAAAACAAACAAACAAACATTGATTGATTTTGATCCAGAAAAATATTGACCTGATAAAAAAAATGGATGGCCATCATTATTATTATAATTTGTGACAAGAATCAATCAATAAAGTCATCAATCTTCCAACTTCAGCTGATGATTATGATGACAAAAGAATTTTAAATCATTATTTGTGTATATGTCGTAAGAAGAACTAGAAGAAACCATAACAACTCGATTGATCGATAATTTTTGGACTGAAATTATTGTTTTTTTTCTTAAATAACAACCAACAACAACGACAAAAATAATTAGAAATTTCGAATTCGAGTTGGCCGTTCTGTTCTGTTGTTGGTTTTTATTTCAAAAAACAAACAAAAAAGAAAGGAAAATTCATGTGATACGGTTGGCGACAAAGTTGGTGGTGGTGGGTTAATGAAAAACAAAAAAAAACAACAACAACAACAAAAATTCTCATTTCAAAAAACAAAAAATTCATTTGTGATATATAAGAAACATCAAGAGAGAGAGAAAACCAAGGAAAACGAAAAAGAATGGCATCACGTTTAGATCGATTATTTTTATTACTTGATAATGGTTCAACACCTTTAACGCGAAAAGCAGCTGCATTACAATTGGGTGAAGTACAAAAACTACATCCACATGAATTGAATACTTTATTGATAAAAGTACGACAATATTTGCATTCATCATCATGGGAAACACGTATTGCAGCAAGTCAAGCTGTCGAAGCTATCATTTCGAATGTACCGGATTGGTTTCCAAATGGATCATCATCATCCAATGATAATAATGGTGGTGATGAACAACAACAGCAAAATAATGGTGATGATAATGATGAATGTCGTATGCGTTTCGATCGTTATGATATTCAAACAGTTATTAAATGTGGCCATAATTTACTTGCATCCGAAGGAAAAGATTTTGATGGTACAATGACCAATGATAATTCTTCCAATGTTAATACAAATATTGATGATACTACTACATTAGATTCACGTGAAAAAATTGCTCAAATGCGTCAATCATTGAATCAAAAATTGGGTTTAAGTTTTGCCGAAAAAATTGGTTTAAAAATGGATTTTATTTCGAATGCTGATCTTATGCAATCTACTATCGACGAATCATCAAAACAATCGATATTGAAAGAAAATGTAAAACTTGAACAAATTATACCGAAGGCACGTGGGCCAATTGTCAAACGTAAAACAACCGCATCCAATGTCAAAAATGAAGATTCAAATGATGATGATTCATCAGTGGTGGTCGGGAAAAAAATTAAACTTGAATCGAATGATGATGGTGATGGTGAAATTCCAAATGATGATGATGTTAACAATATATTTGATGGAAATGAATGGCCATTATCATGGTTTAGTGATGAATTAATGTCCGATTTATTTAATGCACAATGGGAAATAAGACATGGTGCTGCAATTGGTTTAAGAGAAATTGTTAAATTACAAGGACGTTGTGGTGGTCGTCAACGAAATGCATTAACAATTAAACAAGATTTACTTAATCAACAATGGTTAGAAGATTTATCATTAAGATTATTATCGGTATTAGCATTGGATAGATTTGGTGATTTTTTAAGTGATCAAGTTGTTGCACCTGTACGTGAAACATGTGCACAAGTACTTGGTATGATTATAAAATTATTAACAAAAAATGGTGTTCATAATGTATTAGATATTTTATTACAATTATTACAATGTAATGAATGGGAAGCACGTCATGGTGGTATGCTTGGTTTAAAATATCTATTAGCCATTAGACAAGATATGATTGAACAATTATTACCAAAAGTATTTGAACCAATTTTTACTGGTCTTAAAGATTGTGAAGATGATGTATCAGCAGTTGCTGCTGCAGCATTAGTACCAATAAAAGATCAATTAATGTATTTAATGCCGGAAAAAGTACCATTAGTTATTGAATTTTTATGGGAATCATTATTAGTATTGGATGATTTATCATCATCAACTGGTGATTTATTAATGTTATTATCATCATTATTAACATTTAAAGGTCTTTCGGAAACATCGAATAATGGTGATGATAATCAACATCAACAACAACAACAATTATCAATATTAATACCAAGATTATGGCCATTTTTATCACATTCATTAAGTTCAGTAAGACGTTCAGTATTGGAATCATTATTAATATTAAGTGAAAAAAATTCAAATGAATGGTTAAATTATTCATCGCTATTATCGGATGCATTACGTTTATTATATCAACGGTCATTGATTGAAAATCATACAATAATATTAGATCTTTTATATAAAGTATGGTTAAATTTAATATCAAAAACAAATTATCAATGTTTAATTGAATCAACCAGGAATTATGTAACTGGTTGGATTTGTTTAATGATGCAACCACAAAAAATACCAATAGATATTTTAAATACACCAGTTTGGTTAGAAATTAAACATATTTCACATCCATTATCATCATCATTATCGGTAAGTTTTTTTTAAAATTTTTTCAACTTGATGTTTTTTAATTTGATTAATTTAACCAGCATCTGAAGAAACATTCATCATTACAACAACAACAACATTTATCATCAACAACATTACCGGCTGAAAATTATTTTATTGGTGGTACAGAATCATTAGGTGAAACAAGTGAAGAACGTGAACGTTGTACAATACGTGCACGTTATCAATGTGCTAGGCTTATTGGTGCTTTAGCTTATTATTTGACTGAAGAAAATGAAAGTCAAACATTATCATCATTATCATCATCATTGAATGGTACAGAATCTTCTCAAACAGCAACAATTGTACAGGATCCACTTGATAGTTTTGCCTGTTTGTTATTGGTTCATTTGAATACCAAATCAGCCATACAACGAATGTGTAGTGCATGGGTTATAAAAGAATGGGCAATAGCAAAAATTCAACGAAAAGGTGAACAACAACCACCTTGGATAATCAATGATAATGATAATAATGATCAAAAAACTATCGAATCACCACCGCCATCATTACAATTACATAAAAGATTAGCAAATCGTTGTATTGAATCATTAGAAGAGCAGATATTTTTTGATGAAATATCTGCATATGTTAGTCGTGTACAATATAATTTTCGTGATCTATTAACAACATTACGTACGAATAAAATTGAATTCAATGATCAAGAATTGGTGGGGAAAAATGTTTATACTTTTGTACAGATAAATTCGGTTATTGATAATTTAAAAAATCATCAATTAATTGAAATGAAACAAAAATTGAATGAAAATCGAAAACCAAATCCGAAACTAAAATCATTAATCGAATGTTTGGAAGAGAAAATTTCATTAACAAGACGTACAATTTTGGATTTAAATCAATTAACAAATTCGTATACGATTGGTGTAAAATCATCATTAGCAACATCGTTAATTGAATGGCGTCATTTACCTGATCGTCTTAGTCCAATTATAAAACCAGTAATGGATTCAATTAAACAAGAAGATAATGAACAATTGCAACGTGGATCAGCATCTAGTCTTGTTAAACTACTTAATATATTCTGTGAACGTACATATAGAAATTCTACACAATCAACACCAACGGCAAAAATTATCAATAATTTGATTACATATCTATGTTCGGATCGTAATTTTACACCTGAAGTACGTTCAATATTAAATGATGATCATAAAACAACAAAACAAAATTCCGATGCTCAATATGGTATACTTGCATTGGAAAATATGCAAAAAATTGCTGAACAAAATTTAACATTAAGACGTTCAAATTCAATGAATATGAAAAATAATAATCGAAGTAATAATCAAACAAATGATGATTGTAATGGTGGTAATAATAATAATAATAATGGAACAATGAATATTAATGAACAACAACAACAACAACAAGATAAACAAGGTGAAATACAACGTCGTGGTGCTACAATTGCATTATCAGAATTATGTTGTTCGTTTGGTCAATATCTACCGAAACAATTACCATCATTATGGGAATATATTGGAAAAATATCATTGGATCAACAATATCCACCAACAACATTTGATGAAAATGGTTTGAAATTATGTCGCGAACTGATACAATCATTACAAGTATTTGAAATTATTGGTCCATATTTACATCCAAAATTATATTCATTATTAAATGGTGCATATGATTTTCTGAGTGAATGTTTGAATAATCCATTTATAACCATAAGGCATATGGCTGCACGTTGTTTTGGAATGTTATCATCAATCAATCTAAATGTTACAATGGATTTTATATTGACAAAAATTTTAGATATGTTAGAAGCAACTGATTCAGAACTGAAACGACAAGGTGCAGTTGAAACAATATATTTTATAATTGATAATCTTTCATTAAAAATTGTACCATATATTGTATTATTAATTGTACCAATGTTGGGTAGAATGTCTGATCAAACTGAATCGGTTCGATTATTAGCAACACATTGTTTTGCACAACTTGTACAATTAATGCCATTGGATAATGATCATCATCAACATCAACAGCAACAGAATTCAATGAAAATGAAAAGTAGTAATAGTGGAACAACAATCGATTCTTATAAAGAAGCATTATTATTAAATAATGAAAATTCACATTTTTCACAGGAATTATTAAAACGTAAAGAAAATGAAAGACATTTTCTTGAACAATTAATGAATATAAAAAAATTAGATGATTATCAATTACCAATCAAAGTAAAAGCAGAATTAAGACAATATCAACAAGATGGTGTTAATTGGTTAGCATTTTTAAATAAATATAAATTACATGGTATTGTTGCTGATGAAATGGGACTGGGTAAAACATTACAAGCAATTTGTATATTAGCCTCGGATCATTACTATATGCGAAAACGTTTTTTTAATAATGAATCAAAAAATAAACCATTACTTTCGTTGGTTATTTGTCCACCAACATTAACTGGTCATTGGATGTATGAAGTTGAAAAATTTATTGATGAAAAGTATTTATCACCAATTATGTATTATGGACCACCATTTGAACGATCAAAAATTAAACAACAAATTATACGTGCACAATATTTGATTGCCACCGAAACAACAAAAAATCATTATCATAATTTAATAATTGCATCATATGATCTTGTTCGTAATGATATTGAATTTTTTTCATCGATCAATTGGAATTATTGTATATTGGATGAAGGACATGTTATTAAAAATGGTAAAACAAAATTAGCACGTTCAATAAAAACATTACGTGCAAATCATCGTTTAATTTTGACTGGAACACCAATACAGAATAATGTTTTAGAATTATGGTCATTATTTGATTTTCTAATGCCCGGTTTTCTTGGTACTGAAAGACAATTTATGTCACGTTATTCAAAACCAATATTAGCATCAAGAGATGCAAAAAGTTCATCAAAAGAACAAGAAGCCGGTGTATTAGCAATGGAATCATTACATAGACAAGTATTACCATTTATTCTAAGACGAATGAAAGAAGATGTTTTAAAAGATTTACCACCAAAAATAATGCAAGATTATTATTGTGAATTAAGTCCATTACAATCACAATTATATGAAGATTTTTATAAAAGTCGTGCTAGACAAACAATTAAAGATGATTTAGTTAATGATTTATCATCGACATCATCATCAAAAATGGCCAAAGATGTTGAATCACCACCATCAACGGTAGATATACCAAAATCACATATATTTCAATCATTACAATATTTACGTAAAGTTTGTAATCATCCAAAATTGGTATTAACCTCGACACATCCAAATTATAATAAAATTATGTCCAAATTAAAAGCTGAAAATACAACATTATCCGATATAAATCATGCAGCCAAATTGATTGCATTAAAACAATTATTACAAGATTGTGGTATTGGTGTTTCACAGACCAGTGGTCAAGATCAAACTGCAGCCGAACCAGTTGTTAATCAACATCGTGCATTAATATTTTGTCAATTAAAAAGTATGTTAGATATTGTGGAAAAAGATTTATTAAAAATACATATGCCATCGGTTACATATTTGCGATTGGATGGTGATGTACCGGCTGCATCAAGATATTCGGTTATACATCGTTTTAATAATGATCCTTCTATCGATGTTTTATTATTGACCATTCAGGTTAGAATAGTGTTACTTTTTATTTGATTTTTTTTCAATGAAATTTTTTTTCAATGATTATTTTAGGTTGGTGGTCTTGGATTAAATTTAACCGGTGCCGATACAGTTATTTTTGTTGAACATGATTGGAATCCAATGAAAGATCTACAGGCAATGGATCGTGCACATCGTATTGGACAGAAAAAAGTTGTCAATGTTTATCGGTATGTTTTTTCTTTTGCTTTTTTTGATTATAAATTTTAAAAATTAAACTTTTACAGATTAATTACAACCGGTACATTGGAAGAGAAAATAATGGGTTTACAAAAATTTAAATTAACAATAGCAAATACGGTTATATCGAATGAAAATTCAAGTCTTGATTCAATGGCAACCGATCAATTATTGGATTTATTTGAATTAAAAACCGGTAATGAACGAAAAGAAAATACCATTAGCAGTAATGGAATGTCGTCAACAGATCAATCATATTCTGCCTCTGCAACTGGATCCGTATCAATGAAAATGATGTTGGAAACATTACCCGAATTATGGGATACACAACAATATGAAAATGAATATGATTTGAATAATTTTCTACAATCATTATCGAATTTTTCTACCTGAACAACCAACCAACAAAACATTTTTTATGTGTGTATAAAAAATCACCACTATTTATCATTCATCCATCCATCCATCCATCATCGAATACTCAATTTTTTTTTCTTTTTGTAATAAAAAAAGATGTGTCATTTGTTTTTCTCATTCTTGAATTTTTGATTTTTTGATTCTGTGTAATTAATGAATAATCAATTAATACTTTAAAAAAAAAAATTTATTTATTAAAAAAAACTTTTTGTAATAAATATAAATTAGAAATTTTTAGTTAGTTTTGTAATTTTTTTTTTTTTTTTGTAATTTGTAATTTCAGAATTCCAACAAAATTTGTTTTTATCGATTTTTTTTTTGATTTGGATTTAGGCACTTTTTTTTCGTCGGTGGGATGTTATAGTCGAAAAATCATCGATCATTTAGTAATATTATTCAATTGATGAATAGCCGATGATGTTTGATCTCTTGGATCACAAGAAATTTTTATTGTTTTCTGTATAGCATTTGTAGCTAATATTAATTGTGCTGCACTTTGTAAAACAGATGAACTATCACCATGTTTAAAATATTCTTTTAATGTTTGGCTAAAATTTTTTGAATCTTTAATGAATTCACGTTTACGTTGTTCAATTGAACGTTTATCTTGATAGGTTTGAATAAATCCACCCGAAGATGATGACGATGACGATGATGATCCATTCGAACCGGTAATATCATTAACACAATCCAATAATTTCTTGATTGCCGAAGCAATTTTACGTATGGTTTCCAGAAATACCTGACGATCATAAAGAACATCCGGTATACGTGATAAGATTTTTTTCAATGCAAATGTACGACGATTCAATTCTTGAAATGGTTCTTCTTGTCGACGACAACGTTGTTCTTCAAATTCAGGTATTTGTGATTGCATTCGCAACAATGCTTCAGTCATATTCATTGAAATAATATTTCTGGTTGCAAGAATTTCTGTAATAAATTCTAATAAAAAACCGGGACGTCTATGCTCACATTTTCCTAATGCTTTTAATAAAACAACAGCAGCCTGTTGACTATGTTTTTGTATTTTACATAATAATGGTCGTACTATTATTGGCCATATTAATGCTGCTGTAACTGATGAATATCTTGGATATTGTGTTACCATTGTCGTTGACGATGATGATTGTTCATTATTATTATTATTATTCGTATGGTTCGATGTTGAATGTGGATGATGTACAATCATATTACCATTATTATTACGATGATAATGATGATTCGATGATGGTTCGGATGAAACAATTTTATTATTCATAATCATTCAGAAGGATTTTTTCTTTCGGTAAAGGCACAATAATTTCAATGTTTTTTGTTTTTTTTTGTCAGGTCCAAAAACGAAACGAAAACAAAATATCACCTGGTGGCTGCTCACCTTTTTGCGCAATAATAAATGATCACAAGGAAAGAGAGAGAGAGAGAGAGAGAGAGAGAGAGATACGTGTCGTTTGTTTTTTTTTCTCGGATGATATTTAAAGAAACAAGATTTGTTTACCTGATTTATTTTCATTCTTTGCGACTAGATGGCGCTTTGGACTGATTCTTTTTTTTTGTGGAAATTTTCCGGTTTTCGCAACAAAATTGATTGATGTCTTTGTCGGTTATCCGCGATTTTCCCCAGTCATTTTCGGTTATTTTAACCAAAAAAATCATTAAAGATTGATGATCGGTGGATAACCGATTCAATACCCGGTTTTTTTTCTTCTTAAATGTCTTCGAATGCTTTCCAAGTTTTGAGGTCATCAGGTTAATCATATTCGTTTTTTTTTATTTCATTAAATTTTTATTTGATTATTTTTGTATCCCATTTTCAATTAGCAAAAAAATCTTGTTGATGATTTTGATTTTGGAAATTTCCATTGATATTTTTGTTTACNTTTTGTATTTTACATAATAATGGTCGTACTATTATTGGCCATATTAATGCTGCTGTAACTGATGAATATCTTGGATATTGTGTTACCATTGTTGTCGTTGACGATGATGATTGTTCATTATTATTATTCGTATGGTTCGATGTTGGATGATGTACAATCATATTACCATTATTATTATTATTACGATGATAATGATGATTCGATGATGGTTCGGATGAAACAATTTTATTATTCATAATTTTCATTCAGGATTTTCATTCGTGATTTTCTCTCGGTAAAGGCACAATAATTTCAATGTTTTTTTTTTGTCAGGTCCAAAAACAAAAAACAACAAAACAAAAATATCACCTGGTGGCTGCTCACCTTTTTGCGCAATAATAAATGATCACAAGAAAGCGAAAGAGAGAGAGAGATACGTGTCGTTTGTTTTTTTCTCGATTGATGATATTTAAAGAAACAAGATTTGTTTACCTGTTTTATTTTCATTCTTTGCGACTAGATGGCGCTTCTGATCGGTGATATTTTTTTGTGGAAATTTTCCGGTTTTTGCAAAATTGATTGATGTTTTTCTCGGTTTTCCCCAGTCATTTTCGGTTATTAAAGATCATCAAAGTTTGCTTTGATGATGATGATCGGTTGATAACCGATTCAATACCCGGTTTTTTTTGCTTAAATGTCTTCGAATGCTTTCCGTTTTGAGGTCATCAGGTTAATCATATTCGTTTTTTTTTATTATTTCATTAAATTTTTATTTGATTATTATTTTTTGTATCCCATTTTCAATTAGCAAAAAAAATCTTGTTGATGATTTTGATTTTGGAAATTTCCATTGATATTTTTGTTTACCCGAAAAATTCTTTCTTTCTGGCCAAAAAAAAATTTCACTCATTTCACTTCATTTGACAATCTTCCTGCCATTTGAGAATGATAAGTTTGTCACATGACACAAAGTAATGATCATAATGAGGTCATCATCATCATCATCGAAGAAAGAAACGGGAAAATTTTCCGACCGGATAATTTCATTCGGATAATTAATTAACACCTCCAACACCAGACTTGTCTAAATGAACACACCACCAGTATTGATCACTATGAATGAAAAAATACCATCATCAAATTGCGAATCTTGAAAAAATCCACAAACAACGTTCATGGATCATCCGAAAGCCTGGCCAACAGAAAATATCGTCCATGACAATCATTATCATCAGAAAAAATTGTTGAATCCCAATGACAAAACAAGCTGAAGAAATAAAAGTGGTGGTGTAAAGGAAAAGAAAAGAAATGAATTTTTTTTTTCATTTGAAAAATCTTGAATTTCATCATTGAATGGAATGGCATTTTTGACCTATTTTTTTTCTTCCTTCTTTATTTCTCATCATTATCATTGTGATTATGATTGCCTATTCAAACACACACACACACACAAAACACATCAATCCAGTAGTGACTGGATTTTCTTTTCTTTTTACTAGAAATTTTTTTTTTGAAAATCCACTACCGATTTGCACAAGCTTTAGTTCTTTCGCTCTTTTTTTCTCAATCGAGAAATGACTGTGTGTGTGATTCGACTGCCGGTTTTGAATCTGAAAAAAGATCCTTTTCGTTTTCATTTCGTTCGATCAAAAAAAGATTCTGTAATTTTTCTCGCACTGACAAAACAAGAAAAGTTATCCACAAAAAGTATCTCTACACTGTTTGCTGGCCTTGTTTTTACTGTTTCTGCACTTGGCATACTGGCCCTGATATTGGCAATTTTTGTTTCCTTCGTTCGTTTTGTTTTTTCGGAATGGAATTGGCCAGTACAGAATTGGTTAACGAGTCCAGAATTCTTTTACGACCAAATCTGAAAAAACACTAAAAATAAAAAAAACCCTGGACTGAAAAATGAATGAATGGTAGAAAATCCAGGGCAAGGATAATGCGCAAACGATTTTCGTACTTGAATTTCAAAATCAAATGATGATCACCATCATCATCATTTACCAATATTTGGCTATACATACAGGATGTGTGTGTGTGTTATACTGATAATGATTACAAATTAACATTTGTTGGCCTCTTTTAAAAAGTTGATGTTTTTCGGTTTTTTGGTTGGTTGGTTAGTGTAAATTTGATTAGAATCAATGAGAAAAGCGAAAGATATACCAATGATGATGATAAAATGGAAAACCTTCACCATCAAATACTGAATTTATCAATGAATGAATTGAATTCGAGGTAACCCTTTTTTCCGTGTTTTTCTGTTTTATTTTGTCTTGTTTCATGATAAACATTCATGGAAAAATGACGATTTTTTTTCATTATCAAATTCATGGCTTTCTATTTTCCTTGAATGAAACAAAACAAAAAAAATTTATCAAAATTGACATTCGCACTCGCACACACACACACACACATAGACAAAACAGACACAGAGATAATGTTAGTTTTGTTTTCTCTTCATACTTTTTTTACCTTGAATATATTTTTTTAAAAAATGCGAGTTTTGTGTATGTTTTTATTGATATATCAATGCCATTTCTATTGATGATAATAATGATGATCATCATCATGACTATGATGATTGTCAATGTTAATTCCTTTTTTATGTTTTTTTATGAAATTAAAAACAAAACATAAAAATCCATATCAACNCAGGAATTATGGTGTGTGTAAGTACGGTGTACAATGTAAGAAGACAAATTAAGTTAAAATAAAAAAAATAAAAATAAAAATAAAAAAAAAATGACATAAAATTACAATGGGTACAAATATGAATTATCAATTAATTTAAAAGAAAAGAAATTCTGTGTGTGTGTAAGCAATGGATATAAATATGAATTGACGATTGATTTAAAAGAAAAGAAATTCTGTGTGTGTGTAAACAATGGATATAAATATGAATTGACGATTAATTTAAAAGAAAAGAAATTCTGTGTGTGTGTAAGCAATGGATATAAATATGAATTGACGATTAATTTAAAAGAAAA